ATAAAGACTGGGCAGTCAGAACAAAGAAAGGGGTAACGCGCTTACGCGACCTTAATAGCCTTCCGCGAACTGCGGCAGGATGTCCTGACGACTCGTGTGGGCATACACAGCATCCCTCCACCCTCAAGTGAACAGCATCTGGAAAAGTGAACATGTGGTAGTTCCTCGGTCCGTACGCTAGTGCTGGCATGGGTAGTAAAAGGATGGGGAACGTATTCCTCGACTGGTTGCGAACAGTTTGTTTTCCGCCAATGACCAGAAAACATTCGGTCCCTGAGAACTGAATCCAGGCTGTATGGGAATGCCATGCATTTCTGTAGTATCAGCTTTAACGGGTCGTGATGAATCCGGGGAGAGGATGAGGCAAGAGCCACCTTTGTCCGTTTAAAGGCACGGTGTTCAACGTTCGACCAGTTTCAGCAATAATTTTCAAAGGGAAGTCTTTTCTGTCGAAACAAACCCCGGTGTGTATTAATACTGGTGGCGTCTCGGGATTCTGTATTTAGGATTGCTTGATTGTAGGTATGATTAAAGTCCAAAGTTGTAAATCGCCGACCACTTGAAAGGGATTTATATATGTCCTCGATCAACGGGAGTGAATAATAGTTTAATGTGGTTGCTGTGTTGATAGTAAGCTTGTAGTCACCAGAAATACCCACTGAACCATCGGCTTGAAGAACAGGGATTATTGGGGCTGCCAATTCGGAATACTGTGCAAGCTCAATAATGTCCGCTTTGTCTGGGCGATCTAACACTTCCTCGACCTCCGCTGCAAGTGCATAGGGAACTGGATGAGCTTTGAACAATTTGGGCTGAGATTCTGATTCAAAGTAGAATTTGACGCGTGGACTGCGGTAGTGCGTATTCGAATCGTCCCGAGATAGTTCTCTATGTCCCACTAACTGGGAATCTAGAGCGGAGTTGACTCCAATTCGAGGTATGTACGATAGCACCGACGGAACACATTCCATCCAGTCCCGTCCGAGGAGATTTACTTGTTAACTTCCTCTGACCACATGAACTGGCAAGTAATGAAGTTCGCCATCGTGCTCAACTTCGGCCATAAAGACCCCTCCAACGTCTAAGTTCTGTCCAGTGTAACAACGTAAAGTAGAGTGAGCCGGGAGAAGATGGAGCATTTTCTGAAAAGAGGCCTCACTGGTGAGAGTAACAGCTGAACCAGTGTCGATTTCAAATTTCACGCGATGGAGATCAAGCGAAAGCGTGATGTTGTGAGGTGATTGGAACGGCTTGTCTGCTGCAGACATTTGAAGTATCGTCTCGCCATCCCCAGTTGGATAGGGTAGACGGCGTGCATGTTAGTGTTCGTTCGCTTTTTGAAAAACACAGTTTTTCGATGTGGCCAATTTTCTTACAAAATCGGCAAACTGTATTTTGGTGTTTACAGTCTGACCAACGGATATGATGCTGACCGCAACGATAGCAGGATGGCAGTTGTTTTGAAGGAGCTACTGGGTTCCGTTTAGGTGGAAACTCGGCGGTGACTAAGAAGATCGCCAAATCAGATTGCAAGGATGATGTTAATCCAGTGTTTGACTGATCAAGCTGCTGAAGATTCTGCTGAATACCCTCTTGATGACGGATGCTATCACAGGCTTTCTCCTATGACAAATCTTCCTTCTCGGATAACACCTTTTCCCGAGCCATTTCATCCCTCAAGCCCACAAGCAACTGCTGCACCAGCATCGTCTGCTCGAACTTGGATGCTGCAATCTCGGTATATCGGCAATCCTGTACGGCGAGAGTAAGGTTTGTAATGAAATCACCGATGCATTGGCTGGATTCCTGATGCATCTGACAAAACTGATAGCGGCTCAGGAAGATGTTGCCTTTTCCAGCCCACATTGTTTCGAGCTTTGTGAATGCTGTTTGGAGATCAGCAGACTCTTG